TATATATATATATGTATATATATATATAATATCACTAGCAGTATGTATGCTCTAATCTGCTATTCGCATAGACTTCAAACTAGGAAGCATGCGCTCTTGTAATGATCACAATTATCTTTCGCGCTTCGAACACATTTACTTCGGTAAAACTAGTTTCATCGTGGGAAGATATCCGTAAATGCTCCTGGGTAGTGGAGCTCTCGCATTCAGAAAAGCCTACAGTCACGTGTTTCACCCAAATGAGTTCGTCTGATCCGAGTGTAGTCAGCAACGGGAGTACGGGCATAGACGAAAAACTACTCACGCATGCACGCTGGATTCGTTCTGCCTCCACGTATGTGTTCTGACTGGTCCACCGCTCACATCTCATTATAGAATGCGCACGGAATGTTACAGACCACTTGTAATGAATTTCCGCGGTTTGCATTGCCAAAGCAATGGGGCAAACGTAGCCGTCTGACTGGGTGTTCGCGTGGTAACTTTTGGAACCAATAAAAGAATGAAAGCTCCACTGTCGCCCTAATAGTGCGTCCCCTGCGTCACTGAATAGAACGAGTTTTTTCCCAGGTTTTCTGCTACAGGGGAGTAAAATCTCGAGTATCCTTCGACGGAACGATCAAACAGCCGCGAACGCCTATTGCAATCATTCTCTTGACAGTCCTAGACGCTTGAAAAGCCTCCCGCGATTAAAAAAAAGCAGTTAAGGCCGTGTGGTTGTCCGGTCAAGTTCGAAGTTTTGCACCACATCCATCAGTATGACTACTTGTGGTAACAAAATGGCATTTCTCAGCGCCGAAACATTGATGCGCTTACTGGTGGTTGATCAGGTGGCCATTGATCCGTTCGCCGAGCTTAGTAATTATCTTGTAGGCTACAAGGTTCTTCTGCACGTACCCACTGAGCCTCTGATTCATACATCGGCACGGATCACATTACCATTGACTGAGACTTGTCACTCCGGTGCCACAGCACCATAAATCGCACTGGATTTCCTAATTTGGGAAATGACACCGCCTTTTTCCAGTCCACGAAGGTTGGGGCGGAGGTTCAATTATATTTGTCTTAACTGCAGTGAAAGGGTTTGGTTCCATTGCGTCCCATATTTCAGTAGGACTATGGCCGAATTCTAAAAAGAGTTTTCAAAGTTATCCCCACTTATCTCAACACTTCCATTCCAAAGGACGTGTGTTTCTCTAAGACACCTGTCTACTCTGCTTTAATATTCATAGGGAAGTCGGTAGTGCCTCCCACAGTTAGACATCCGGTACACGTATGCTTTACCGGTCTGTCTGCTTATGAAAACTACATAGTATGGAAAACGTGTATTTCGTCAGTTCTAACCCTTCGGAGAAGTAGCCGGCTACCAAACTTTTTTTCTCCGGGGCACACAGACCCACCGAAGATGTGCTAGAACTGCTCGCCGAAATGCATTAAAGAAAAATGGATATAATCAACTAGTGGTTGTTAAACAACTTCCCTACTCGCTCTGCCTGTGACAAATCCCGAAATTCTCAAACCTGTAATTAGAATGCGGAAAAAATTTACTAGCACGGATATCAAAGACCGATTCCACTTTGGTGAAATGCACGAAGTGTTTCGGTGCACAGGAATACCACAGATTTCGTACAACACTAGATGCTGTTCCCCCAGTATGTCACCAATACTTGATGTTTTGGTGGAAATCGCTGTTTGCCAGTATAACATACAGAGTTTCACTATGAAGCGGACAAGAAAATCCCAGTTTCAATCATTGAGCACAATGAGAGCTTCACTTGGAACAGGAGATAAGTTTGATTGGGGTACCAAAACATTTCTGATATACCTTCATAAATCTGCTGGAAGTATTGTTTCGTCACTACTTCATGGGGTCTGTCAGGCATTGTCTGCATTCACACGATCCCTCGGGCTGGCTTAGTAGAGTAATTCTGATCCAGAAGTCACAAAAAGATCACTGCGTTCCTTGTATACAGGACAAAGTCAGGTGGCAAGAACTCAGTCTCAATTATTACTTACCTAAAAGTGGAAAATACCTACTAGTGTTCTTTCTTCAGTCTCGGAATGAAGCGGACTTCCTACCGGCTTTAATAGTAGCGTTTCTTCCATTTATGGAGCGAGTGAATCCATCAACTGCTCAAAGAGCACTAACGAAGCATTTAAGCGAAATGGGGAATGTGAATCTGCTTAGTTTTTCTCTGCTTACGTGCATAAAACTCAATTTTGCGTTCCCAACACTGACCAACGTACCACACTACTCATAAGGTTGTTGAAAATTTTTCGACAGCCCACGACCGCTTTCACCCCTCTTGGGACTCATCATGTAGGCGCAGTATCCGAGTTTCCGTCAACTTTATGTTCTACTTGAGCCCAAATTGCAGAAATTAGCGAAATACACCAATTTGCAAACAAATTTGGACTCACCTGGAACCCAGCTGATGCTTAACTACATCGTAAATGATTCAGCTGCGTTCCGGGTGAGTCTCTCGCAAAATCAAATTTGTTTGCAAAAGAGTGTATTTGGCTAACATTCATTTAGAGCTTGCTACTAACATATAGTGCTGTAAAAAACGGACTTTCAAGTTGTTCCGCAATTACTTCCGGTTAATGCTACGAATCCCAAGTAACTGCTAAATGTGACCGGTGTGACACGAATACACGTCCAATCGATCGTCCTCGGATTGAATTGGAGAACTGATAATGGAAAATCGATAACTGGAGAATTACACAGGAATACATTTGACAATTTGAACGCACCAATCAACCATGGCAACAACAGCTTCACCACGAGAAGAAAACGGAATAACGCGAGAGACCTAGCGCCAGCCTACCACCAAAACCGAGGGTCATATACCTACAACACTCAGTCAGACAATCTGCATGATGTACCAAATAGTTATAAGTAAACGAGAGAAGTCTGGTGTCTCACCCACCTGATTAGCCTTAGTGTTAGGAACAATTGGTCACAGAGTAAGAAGGATAAGCTTCTTGATCAATTATGCTTCCTGGACCGTTCGGATGCTGTCACTGTAGATCAGTTGCCCTGATAAACTACGTACACCTAGTCACAGTATTTGAGTCTCTTCCTTTATGCGGTAAACCTAATGGGGATTGGTTTCCTTGGTCCAGCCAGGGAAGTTCGTGTAACGAACCATTGCATCTACCAAAGCAATTCAGTCATGGAGAATTATCGAACGATATAGTTGTATTCAGTGTGTTTTAGAATTCTCGGTTGAGAACACGTTCGTTGGTATCTGGTCCAGTGCTACTTTCCCCAAGACATGAGGCACTTCGCACAATGCGGCCAGATGATAGGCTGTCAGGAGGCTCTGGCCATTCAAGCACTCCTATGCTGGTAGTTCCAGGGACTGTGTTGGCTGGTGTCAAGTTCGAGTGTAAAAACCGCCTGTGTCTCAAAAAGGGGTAGCATCAATTGGCGTCTACCTGAGTGAACTCATTTGCAATCAGATGTGCGCGTTCATGGGATACCTAGGCGTAGAATAATAAATTTGTTGAGATCGCGTAACCTTCCAGAGAATGGATTTCCTGACACTCTCCGGGGAGTCTGTCTGTAAGGGATTACTTCATCCGAGCTCGGGATTTAGAAGCTGTCGAGCCATCGGTTTTGGGGAATAGCCGGTGTCACCATAGCTGCTGGGTTATCGAGATAAAAATCAATTCGGACTATATGGCTGGCTTATTCCAGTCAGTCATAAAGACCAAGTAAACGATGTAAAAATGAGGGAGTCCGGTCACAAGAAATTACAGACAAAAGCAAGCTGTTTGCTTATTATCATTAGCCGTGTAAACCTACCATGGATGCCTAGCAATGGTGAAATGCATATGAATGCAAGGACTTGTCACACTGATGCCGCCGTGCCACTTACTCTGTTCCGTTTCCATTAGTCGACCGCTTCATCACACGTGCGCTCGTACGCCATCCGACTCATAGACAGCACGGCGCTTTATGCATTACGTCAATTGACCTAGCAACCTGAATGTCCAACAGTCAATTTTAGACATGCTAGGTCAGGTCACATACGAGGCTGATGTGTTAATAACCCATGACTAAGGATGATTATGTTGGTGCTGTCACATATGCTTGGGAACTAAGGCACGAGCTTCAAGGTGAAAGATTCTTGATTCAAGTCCGTCCTTGAATCTAAGACTGCCCTTGTCTACGCTTGCGTAATCTGATACTAAGTAAGTCGTCACACTTCCTCTGGGTAGTATGGCCGATTCATTCAGTCAAGTTCTAGATTTCAAATCACCGTTTTAGCTCGCGCTAAGACCGGCCAAACGCAGTGGTAGGTCGGAACACAGTTCTTGCGTACATGGTCGCTGGTTCGAAAAGTGACGGGAATCGTTTACCGTCAGACAAAAGACCCGTTCTACGCATCAGAAGAGCCACCCATACCTGCTCGGGTCTCAGTTAGTTGGAATGCCGTAATGAAGTAAAACCAAGACTTACCACGATGTAAAATGTTTTCACACCGTTAAAGTTGCCTGCTTCATAAACCTCCAGATCCTGGGCCTGGTCGGAAGGCACGTGGCTGAGGACTTTGTTTATCATTGATACCAGCTGTTGCATCATGTCACTTGTGGATTTGCGGCGCGCGGGTGCAGAACTCGACGGATGTGTTTCCTCGTCATTTTCTTCTTCTGCATCCTCATCGTCAGCGGATTCGCTCGCGTCCACCTTCTCATCCACACTGCGAACCACGAGAACTTTGGAGGTCATATCTGACAGCAACTGTTTGAGGTGCCGTTCAAAGGATGACTCCGCACCACGTATTTTGTGAACTTTTTCTGTGGCTTTCATGAATTGATTCAGCAGGAATAAACGGTGCCTGATGAGCTGCAGACCAATACGTAGTGAAGTTACCGAGTCTGGAGTGAACAACCATGGCCAAGGTTTTCCAACCGACATCCGCGATGCTATGCGAATGTCAGTGATGCCGTCCACAGAAACACCAACCAGATCTGTGACGATCCGCTTTCCCGTATTCCTGTATTCTTCATATAATTTCTCGAGATCCTCCGCGACAGCACGAACGAATACCGGGTCTGAGCCAGAAGGAAGAAAACACAGTCAGAAGAGGACATAAAATGAGGACGGTATGCAAGTGCAAAAACCAGGGTTTTTGAGGGTGAATCCCGCGTAGTCGGTTCACCAGTTCGGCACTCATATCTCGACATTAGCTTGGCTATGGAAAGGATGAGGGTTACCTATAGCCGAAATTTACTTTCTCTATAATTTTGTAAACGTTCCTCAAACTAAGACTACATTTCGCATAGATATTTGACTTTAAAGTGCGAAAACGGATTACAGTGAAACACCAAATAGCTCGAAAACCTTGCACAAAAACCACTCTACCACTCTGCATCACTCACGCTCTGTAATGATCGCTTTTGGGAGATCCCATAAAGTTCATATTGAGACTTAGAGAACGAGTTCCAGTCTGTATGTCGGCAAAAACTGAGGAAATTTCTCCCTGCTCCTCCAGCCGCGTTTTTCAAACAGAAACGTCATGTAAGATCAGTTACACTTCACGGGGACCCACCAGATTACACTGTCTGTCATCTCCGGTCGTTTGTCCGGAGTCGATGTGGAAACTTTTAACCCACATCGAGTTTCCATAACATTCATACAGCCTGCGTCCACCGCAGCAGAATGTGCGCTCAAAGTTGATTCACAAATCAACCCATGTATAACTACGAATCACACGGACCTGAGTACTGTGATATCGAAGCAATCATTGTTTGTAATCACCAATGATGACTGTGGCTGGTATCGGGACGAACTGCGAAACAAACTGGAGAAATCCGTTGGACGACAGGGGTGTGTAGGTGTTTGCTTCGGATTAGCAGTTCTGCGTGTCATTAATGAAAACGCGTTTGACCCACATTTTTGTCAATGTTCCGAGTCAGCATTAGACCCCCGTAAAATAAACACAGTCAAGTAGCTGTTGGCTCACCAAATTATATGAAACATGCTAGAAGGATTCATCGGGCGAGCTCCACTCAACATCCATCGACACAACGACGGGCTTGTAGGGTGATTTGTCGAACTAAACAATTGAAATAACATATGCAAAATTTTTTGAAACGGTTTAGGCAGTCGCGAACTAGACAGCCTGATAGGTGGCAGGAATAAACGCCGCTTAGAAACGTGCTTCGCATCTGTTTCTAACTGATCAGTTTTTGATAAGCCCGGTTGGCTTTATAATTGTTGGATGGCTGATTTTGGCTAATTACAGTTTCCAGTCGGACTTGTCAGTGTTTCGCAATCAGAACATGAGTTATCCATCTGTAGCGATAGTCATGAAAACTGGAGATATAAGTAGGAAAGGCGTGGTAACATTGGAAAATAGGTTAACTCAGAATAACTGATTTTAAAACTAACGGCATCTTGTAGGAGAACAGCTAGCGGAAAGACAGTCACCCACAGGAGACCGGTTGCTCTAACTGCACCTCAGCGGCGTTCGACAGGGTAGCACAAGCGCAACATTGTCTGAAGGGAAGTAACAGCGCAAAATCTGGAATCCCACATACCTAATCTAGTGTCCCCATTCTATCAGTTGAAGTTCCTGGCGTGTGACAGCTGGTGTGCATTAGCACTACCTGTGAGATGTGTCGCATGTCATCACTTCAGGCAAATCATGCGCTAGTATCGGGAAATCTTACACTTAACAGTATAGTTAAAATACATCATTTGGTGACAGCGGTAAAAATTACCATGATTCCGTTCCAGTTCCTTGCAAATAGATTTGAAGACTGTGATAACCTCCAAGATTCTTTCGTGAGTATAGTGAATCGGTTGCAAGCTGGCTTCGGTGATGTGGCGGATTTTCGCTTCTATCAATGCAGCAACAAACTAAAACGAGAAAGGCGGATAAAAAAGGATGGATGTAGGCAACGCAGTGAAGCAGCAAGAGGAACCTGGGCAAACGAGAATACAGTTAGTCGCACCCCACGCGGTGCAGGTCAATCAACAGCAAACATCCAATTGTCGTGTGCAGTAATGCAGACATCAAAACGGGGGAACTTGCCTCAGCAGACGTCGAAGTCTTATCAACTCGCCTTGTTAAACATCCTAACCTTAAATGGGTCATGTGATCGAAAAGTTTGGGCGAGGCTGCTTCGTTCATTATACACTTCCCCACCCAGCCAGATCCTATTCAACTGCAGATCACCGAACCCCGAGATGAGTCAACGAAGTCAGGAGTGATCGAAAAATCTATATGCAGAACACCACTTTTTTAGGATTACGGGCTTTTATTATTGTTCATATACTTTTGAAAACCCCACTTAATTCCCATTTCAACAGGGAGTTGTATTTGGTACCCTGATAAAGGCTGGAAACTTATTCTACGCAATTGGCAAGTTAACGCTTATTCGTACGTGACGCGGATAACCACTGACAGTAGTATTTGAAGCAGTGTGAGAGAAGAGCGCACTTATATTTCTGAGTTAATTAGAGGAATGTACAGACTTGGAATACACTTGTCTCATTAGCTCGTTATCAGGAGTAAGGTACTGATTCCCAGAACAAGCACAAAGGTGGAGTTGTGAAAATGGTTCAAGTCAACCGTGTAGAGCTGCCTAATTCAATCATGGTAATTTGCCTCGTTCTCCTTGCTCTGTGATAGTCTATAGCAAGGCAAAACTACGTCCTGTCAATATCACATTTAATAATTTTAGTCTATCAGGCTAATTACATCCACTATATGACTACCACAGTAATCAGAGTACACGTCTGTTTGAGGCGTACCTCGATTGTAGAATGTCACTCGTCTCTCAGAGCGGGGCGACTAGGTTAAACCCATAAGGGTGGCTTATCCAATGGAAGAACTGTATATTTGATTTGGGTAGATAAATATTGATATCTTGAACTGATCGAAAATTGCGGTAATTAGGGTCATTGTGGAAAAAACGATTTGGTGAGTTACGCCAGCTTCGAATTCGGCCATTACCACTGGTGTAATAGCGTGTAATACTGCCGAAACGTCCCAGTAGTATCCGATCAAGTAGTATAAGTCGTCGTCTCTGCATCTGACAGAAGGCTGATTTCGAATTTCTTGAATCGTTTTACAGTGTTTGTTTGTCACTGAGTAATATTCAGACAACGTCAGGGAAGGCTCAGAAGGATGTTGGTATTTCTAAAACTCCGTGCAAATTAAGTCCCTAATTTAGTGTATGAAAGCTTGTAACCACTTAGTTCGTGTTTATCAATAAACAACTGTGCACTCGACGGCGCTTCTCCTCTTACCAGTACGGCCAGAATTTACTGAAACTAATGAACAGTAATTGTCCCGCTGTAGCACTCTTTTGGTTCAGTACTCCCTTTGGTGTGGACTCACCGGAATCAATACGCCAGGACAGGAAGACGACTGTCCAAACGACAGTGACTAACTGCGATAACTTCTCACTCCATCTTTACGGTTTAGGTTACACATTCCTTCAAAAAGAAAAATTCACAGGAGAGAAGTACCCTTCCTAATCTCTGAAGCCGTATTCCAAACATGTCGGAAATGCAGGGAGGATATACATTCGTTGAGTTCATTATTTCGATTTGAATCGCAGTGAAACTCACAGACGAATGTAATAATATTGATGTTAGCACATCACGAATCGTTGCTACACATACTATTGCGGTTACATTTCGTTCCAGAAGTGCTTTTCTCAGTTCCATCGAAGAAATTACCTCTTATCTAGCATGCAGCCAACTGCATTTTGTTTACTTTTACCGTTGCTGTCTAGACAACAAAACTACATTATCTCCCACAATGCAGGTGCAAAAGTGTTATTTCTCAGTGTCATGTGGGCACAAAGGAGACCGAATCAGTATCGAATACTAGTGTGTGGGCAAAATACATCCTCCTGTAGACATATGACCAGATGTGATCGTATTGCAACCGGAGTGAATTCCGATTTGTGGAACAATCGCAATCAGTCAGCCCGGCCGTTAGGCCGAGTAACGCTTCGTCACCGATCGAGGCGACGTCATCAGCACATGGTAGAATAGAGATGTACGGCAGTTCAGCATTGTGAGCCGACTGTAGGTGACTTTTCAACCCCGAGTATAGACGCAATGATTTGGCGCGTAAGGGTGTGGAACGACACGTAGAACTCCTGAAAATATCCTGCCTACGTGCGAGGCAATCACCCTGTTGATCAGCCGCTTGTGGTCGAACGGTCAAATGTTCAAACTACCAACCGGGAGGTCATGAGTTCGAGACTTTGGAGTTTCGTGAGATGATTCCCAATAAAGGTGAAACACCTTTGCAATATAGACTGACTTCAATTACAAAACGAAATATCCATTGGAACTGCAAAATCTCCTCACACTACCATCAATCTGAAGTAGTCCCGAAAACATTCAACAGTGGATAGAATCCAACTCAACCTGTCATAACGAGCAATAAAAATTTACACAGTTTTGAAGATACTTAGGGCGGCATTTGACACTCGGTGGCTGTTGTCTCTCGTAGATATCCCTGTAAAGACCATTCCTAATCAACTTGGCTTTTGGAAAGCGTATCAGAGAAGTGTTAAGCAACAGACTTATTGTGGTTTCGTAAGTTTCGACCGGGCTTGGTAATGTGCACGCATGCAACGGTCAACTTACTGTTCCCAAACTATGGATGACAGCGAGACCTTGCGGAGGAATTGAATCAGGATCTGAAATAGAAAAAGCAAACAAGACTTTTTACTGTACTGCACTCAATCAAACAACAGAATCATAAAAAGACCACATGATTTCCAGTGGAACGCAGTGTGCAATGGAGTTAGCATCCATTCGTACTCAAAAGTCATATCACTCACGAATGGCTCCAGACCGGCCAACTCGTTATAGTGGTTCAGTGGGATATCAAAGGACAGTCATTGACAAGTAAAATTGAATACTATTCGGTTCGGTGAATTGCCTAGGGTCCCACAACGCCAAAAAGAAGTAGAAAGCGGACGTAAGCGGTCTCGGAGGGAGAGGGCTTCAGTATTGATCAGAAAGAACTAATTAAATGGAGGCGACAGGGTCGGTGGCCTGATGTTCAGGTGCAACATGGACCACAGGGCCATCAACCTCACTTAGTCAAGCGATATCCCTGAGTTATCCAATGAGTGGAAATTGGTTAGAATTCTAACCGCTTGTAGATAATCAGGTAATTGTTCCGAGGGAGGGCCTGACAACTACCAGGTCATGGGTTCTGGAAAGGTAACGCATTAAGCGTTGCACCAGGTGAATATGGTGCTGTTAGAATACCTGGCGTTCCCACTCCTGAAATTTGAACACCAATCCTACCATATTCATCAGGTTGGTCCCCAAAATGACGAAAAGGCCTAAAGTATCCGCTTACTAGATAACATTCAAAGCCCACGGTTGGTAATTATGAGATACTCCTTAAGGATACTCCTGACAGTCCACGAATGGTGGGGGCCGCAACAACCCTTGTGGAAGTCTAACCTAATTCAAACACTTCTATGCCGAAAAAAAACTCCTATCGATGTGAAATTAACTATAAGGTTTTTGAAAAGCCCTGCCACTGGTTTCAGTACCCAAGAAGTGAGGTGTCCAAGAGGGTTGATCAACTTTATTCCACCTCTGGAATATTGTTCCAAATGGGAGAAGCGTTGGTCGTCGTAGAGCACATTTACCTGAGGCATACCATAAACGGTCTAATCAACTGATTCTCCTGTGAACACCGTTCCAATTAATACACGCGTGTTCAGCTGAGCAGCGACCGATCTCTACTGAACACTCGACTGCTTCACCAAGAAAACAGGCAGAAAGCTTAACGGGACCCATTCGACGGAGATGACAATCTGGCGCTTTTGATTAAGATGCAAACAATGAGTGAACTAAAAAATGAATCGCACTTGGTCACTTGAGTAGAAAAGAACTAGCGCGTGTAGTAACAAAAACTAACGCCGAAAAATGAGAGATCAGCCGTAGGACGCCATCACTTCGTCATTATTGTCATCGTTTGGTTTTTTCACAAAACTGACAGTTATCGGTAATGTTGCCCTCGCAGTTAACAATCGTGTGACAAATACCCTGGCTACATCTCTGATCGTCTACTATATAGGGCATAGTACATCGGAAGCTAACAGGGTACACTGGAATCGACAAGTAGAGTGGTGCTGTATTATGTTGCGTCGTTCGCGTTCTAAGAAAGTGTGTTAAGAGAAATCGTTGATAGCAATAACTTTATGGCTGTAGCACTACTAACTGCCTAAAGAAGCAATGTTTACGAGCGCTACGAGTAATCGATATTTCTCTTCTCAAATTACGTATTCAGAGGGGGCGGGATGGACTAACTGGTTAGAGCGCGAATTTACTGACCGGAAGGTCAGTGGTTCAAACCCGACCTCTGTCACTCGATTTCCCCTGTCTAGGCTTGGGCGACCTGGCAGTATCCCAGCCCTCGTGCCTCCTTCGTGTGGCATGACAGCTAGGCACCAAAAGGGTGCTACAGCTGGACTATTTATTTTTTTATTATTTTTATTCAGAGAGACAGCAGTTGCTTTTAGAGATCAAGCCGATTAATTATACACATGCGGACCAAGGAAAAATAAACGTCGGTCGTCACCAGCGGCCGAAACAAACAGAAATTTCATTTCCTTGGTATTATGGGGAGCTTAGTAATTTCAGCCTCAAATAAACTTATACAATGTAAAAGAACATGAAGGTTATTAAACAGCAAAAAAAGCCTTTGCATGGTGCAGACTTTATGTTCAATAAGTCTTTGGACAAACGATTGTCATAAAACTCCGCAGGTATAAGAGCCACAAGATTGTTCGGGGCTTACGGAGTAACAGGTACTAATTCACGGATGGAGAGTGATTTACAGACTAAAACCCACCTCGATCTCCTTCCACAGTCACTCTCAGGCAAACAGGAAAATACAATAACGGGACACTGATTTGGTACAGTTGCTTTGAATAGTGATTGGTATGATGTGTGAGGGTGAGGAAGAGAAACGTTCATCAGAAAAACATGGAGAACTACTCAAGTGAACACTTGTGAAAAAACAATAACTGCTCTAACTAACTCCCTATCAACTTTCTAATAGGAGTATGGCTCCTCGTCGAGTGAAGTACAGTATGCTCTGGTTGGTGGAAATCGTCTTCCCAAACTTCAAGCGAGCAAACCTTGATCAGAGAGGCCGAGGCCGCTCTTCACAGAAATCGTACAAATTATTCACACAATATTTACACGTCTATGGTAGCCGCGCAGACAATGCGACTCGTAGAGAGCCAATCAGAAAACGCCAAGTACATTGTGTCGAATGATCGATACAATACACTGAACTATTCACACTGAAAGTAATACATCTAGGACATAAGCTGATTAGCTAGGCAACCGGTCTATAAACGACCATAAAAAATNGAGCAAACCTTGATCAGAGAGGCCGAGACCGCTGTTCACAGAAATCGTACAAATTATTCACACAATATTTACACGTCTATGGTAGCCGCGCAGACAATGCGACTCGTAGAGAGCCAATCAGAAAACGCCAAGTACATTGTGTCGAATGATCGATACAATACACTGAACTATTCACACTGAAAGTAATACATCTAGGACATAAGCTGATTAGCTAGGCAACCGGTCTATAAACGACCATAAAAAATGATATGCCAACCGAAAAGAGACGAATAGCTCCAATAAACCGGTCCAAACATATATGTCCATGTATGTACGTTGCAGCTAACGGATTTAACTCTTCCTGACGTGATCCACCTGTACCCCACCAATCTGAATTACAACCTTAAAAATTGGACAAATAGGGAATGCTGTTACTTGACAGAGATACACAAACTATCTATATATGGGAAGTTGAAATTCCATAATGAATCCACGATTGAGTCCACTTTCTACTGCCCTATAAAGACTTTCCGACCATTGTCCACTCGAAAAACCCATACTGGACTGTAAAAGGTTGCTTTCACCCTTGCTTCCTACCACTCTGTTATTAGTAGATAACAGACGTCGGTTTATAGCAGAAGAAATGCACTATTACGGACTGGTCCTTGAGATTCTTAGGAGTTCGAATGACTAATCGGGGGATAAAGAAATCCTGGATTCGTCCACACACGATATCCTCAACGTCAAATGACAATGAGCCACTGATTCTTTCCGAATTCTTCGGTTCCAAAGAATGAAATTTTTGAAAATAAGGCAAGACAAGCGCCTACCGAAATCCGAAAGCTGACGTCTTCAGTCGTTGAATATCAACAGAAGTGTATTTAATCTACCATAAGTAGTACTTGTACTTGTTTGGGCAAATACAACCAGTCCTATTCGTAAGACTGATGGAGGGAAAATGATTTGAAGACAGGAGGTAAAAACTACATTGCAATGATGCAGTTTAGAAATAAGTACAGTCAAAACGGTCTATTGTGTTCGCCTAGTAACCAATACTCAGCCTCGAGCGATGCACACAATCAGATCCCCCCAGAAGAATTCTAGGAGCGGATTTCATCAAACCTTCCTCATGTTATCAAAACCTGTGTGTGCCGGATACCACTGGTGAGTGCAGCTGGATCCCAGTAGCTCCTACCTCGGTAAGGGCTAAGTACAATAGTCGCGACGAGAAAGGATAGATAGTCAAACGAGTACTGCGGAAGTAAAGTACTGCTAAGCAAGCGATGGTCTCATCCCTGTTAAAATTTACCATCAGTCGGCACCCAGTATCGTGTTTCAGCGTAATGGGGATCTAGCTTTTTTAGTCAAGTTTGGCAGCCCAGTGCAAAATCTATGAAAGCTGGGACAATCATGAGTTTGTTCTCGAAGTAAAGTGCAGTATGCAACTACTGAGGGCTTGTCATAACCTAAACAACTCATACTGTTCCACTGAACAGTGTCGTAACTTTCAAATTTCACTTTCTGAGAGAGCTTAACCCTATTAAAGGGGAATGCAAAGAACGCTGATACTGCTACCAGTTTAGTTAACCAAACACAGTAGTCAGCTTCAATGATAACCCATCTGTAAGAGATGCGTTCAGTGAGCCAAAAGAAGATTTACTATGAGATACCCATCGACAAACTCCCAGAACACAGCAACGTTTTGTAAAAACCATTCAAACCCAAACATCAGCAGCAGCAACAGCAGCTTTGTGCATTGGTTCTAACCGTCACAGTTTCATGTATTGTTTACGTTGAAAACGTGGGCAGAGTTAAGCAGTCATGTGCTCTTGAACTATGAATTAGACACTGATTGCAGTAGTATTACGGGAACACTTTTACGAGTACATGGATCCAGGGGGTTGTTGGGTGCCAAAGGAGATGGTTCTGGTGCATGAATACCACTGGCGTGTGAGTCAGGCCTGTCCGTGCCCCTTATTTCTGATGTGCCTCATATTGGGAGCATCCACTGGACATGAGTTCTGTCGAAGTGAGTAAAACTGTTGGTCATAACATTCAGTCATCTCTACCAAGTCACTCTGACCTCCATTAGCACGCTGCCACTCAGCACACCATGGGTTGAACAGTTCTTTATAAAAGTTGACCTGTCCGCATTCGAAGCGCACGATCCAGCCAGCATAATGCACGAAATGCTATCAGCTCGGATATCGGATGAGTCCTTTTCTACGGGAACAATTCAACGTATATCAGTATTATTGGTCCAATGTTTCCACCAAACTCGAGACACTGGTCGATGAACAGCGGAAGATCATTCCGTCTTCTGTTTCCGGTTGCCATATAACAGTGCGAAGCGCACTGCAACGGAGTAAGGTCTGGCTTAGCAGAGGCTGACGTCGCCTCAAACCCACAGAAACCATAGGCAGACTACGCCACCGGGACAGATGCGACAACAGAAGTCAACAAATTTCATTGATTGCGGCTGATTAGCTCGACTGCAAGCATAATATTCGGGTTCGGTTCCACCCAGTCTTGCAGTAGCACCCAAAACTTTGCTGGCGTGAAACGCATGCCAAGACGTTTAACTGAATTATTTAACTTATTTGCTATTGTCGGCATATATTTGAAGTTCACTTTAGGTTAGTTATATTGTCAGCATAGTGAGTACCCACGAGTGAACACTCGAAGAATACTTCGGCTCGAAAAGCGTTAAGAGTGGAAAATGACTGCTTCATTAGGATATGGTTCATGAAGATACGAGGGCAATGAGAAAGAATTCTCATCCGACGCCAACAAATGTGGCAAACTCAGGTGAGTGGTTTCACAAACCTTCGCTCGTCTATGGAGTTAGCGTACAGCAGTTCTAATACGACCACAGATTTATATAGACCTTTGCTTAACAGATACTTTCCTAATGTGCTATTCCAGCATCTGCCTCCTCCAAAATAGTACCAGTTAACTGCGCGTCTACCACAATCCATTTGTAACGCTTGAAGCAAAACTACAGGAAATCAGCGGAGATAAGCAAAAAGCTCGCTGCAGGTGGGAACAAAATGAACTAACTCGTGAATGTTAACCTCGGGAAAACATAACTGAGACAATCCCAGCGCCGTTTCGATACCACTTATAGATCCAATCGCATCGTCACCCAAGCCTACCTGGTCTGACGAGTAATAGTAACGGGGACCTGTTTACCGAGAGTTCCGTCGTTTCTTGTATAAGGGTTGAATGAATGAGTGAACTGAGTGTGAGTTAATCGATCGGTTAGTTGGGCGTATGGGCTGAGGCGACCGCATCCTTGTACATCTGTATAAAGTGTGGCCCCCGCCCATTGTCCATTATGCACGTGTTTCATTCTAAGACCACCAGTCGGTCCATCACCATCACCAATATCATCACCAGCCACCTGGATACCGAGTACGGCCTTGACAGTTGCCTCAGCTGAGGAAATGTGCACAACGTACTCAGCTCCTGTAACAGGCCAATAGGCTATGTAGCCATTGACATTGATATAGCTCAGTCAAGACGGGAGAAAATCAGAACCATTTGACGGAGTGAGGCCAATTGGTCTAACAGTATCGTTAAATTGCTTTGAGGAATATACTATCGAGGACGTGAAACGAGATCACTTGGGGCGAACTCTTCAGGGAGCGGCTTAACATCACTCATAGGCAGTTATTGTCTACGAATAAAGACAATGTTGTGGGTGACTAATGAAAAATCTTTCAGGTGTGACTCCTCACAATACCCTTCAGCATGGCTCCAAATGAATTTGATTGAGAACTACCATTGTGCTCAGCTCAATTTGGATTGGAAAGTTGACGCAGAACCAACTGCTTTTTTGTTAGCACGTGAAAAAACTTATTGGTTAGTCCGATTTCCACTGGTTCGTCGTGTCTTAGAAGGAACGCGGAGGGAAGAGCATACCTACATTGTACCGCACATCTTAAAAAGTATTGAACAATGAATGAATCCTAATTAGCCGTAACAAGGTTACTTTTACAGATGATTCTGCAACAGACTGTAACCTGCAACGAAAGTTGATTTCACAGCCACATGAAAAGATTTCTTTTGGGTCTTGACACGCTCGAACCGACATCCAATGTAGTGGAACAGAAAGGCGCTCATTACCTTCATGAGCATCGCTAGTGTTGAGAATCCTACTTCACCATCACATAGTTGCAGGAAAAAGTTTTTGAAGAGCTTTTAGAAGAGAAGAAAAGTTCACAAAAATGGACACAAACAAGCCGTTTGGTAAGTAGGTTACACTCCTAGTATGCAGCAGCCTTATGTGCCTCCTGAAAATAGACTTCCTCGATAAATGGATTTCTGTTGTGTCGGGCACTCGAACCTTATCATTCGATCGATGGTAAAAATGTGAAATTTCCCAAACGGGGTCGGAAAATTTTAGCAACTGCGGCCCTTATACCACTCAACAAGGACCATCTTTCTCCAAAAATTGGAGAATGCAGAAAGTAGATGGTGTACCAATTTATTTCCGTCTGACTGCGGCGAGCAAAAGTCTACTCACAAAGGGATGGTCTTGAGCTTTGTGCCTAATACAACAAATCATGAGGTCTATCAAGAGGGTGACGTCAATGGTGGTTATACCAGTTTTTCTAGTCAACAATGAGAACTGTCGTAAGCCCAATCACAAGATGAGAGCTCCGTCGTGTGGTTAGTAGTGTAGTCGGAAAGCCCAGGTGCGTAGATGACGATTTCCTAAGAACCAGTGATCCTGTCCTTCATTTGGATCGGCCGAAAAAAGCCGTGGAACACGGCTGAGCTGTTGACTAGTTTTAATTTAGGGATTATTGCATCAATAGTGAAGCCAGTTAACTTTTCACTAGTTGTTTCTTGAAGGGGCTGTCGTCGATCACGTGCGTTTCAGTTCGTGCGCCCTTGAATCGCACTATAAGACGCAGAGTGAGTTGTTTCGTTCCAAATGTCATGGAACCTCAAGTGTTATGCAGATGCCCATTCCAAGAAAATCCCAACTGTTCATGCTACATCATAAATTAATGATCTTACTTTAAGACAAATTATTTCTTAGGCCCCCCAAGGTAAACACAAATAGATTATTCTGATGGTGGGAGAACGTACTGCCAGTTTCAAACACCGACTATGCAGCTCATCGACAAGGTTTAGCTGTAGCACTCTTACGGTGCCTGACTGTCATGCCACCCAAAGGAAGCACGAGGGCTGAGATACTGCCAGGGTACCCTAGACTGGAGAGGAGCAGTCGAAGTGCAGAGATCGAGTTCGAGCCACGAATCTTCCACTCAGTAAGTTCGCGAATCAATTACTGAGCCACCTGGAGCTCATTTCATCAGCACACATGATGACGAAGCGAAAATTGGTCATCTTCTTGTTGGACTGCGTCTGAACACAAGGATGTAACAAGTGACCAATGACGGTAACCAATTGACATAATAACAAATCTGAGGATGACCGAAAACCGGGCCCACTGAAGGTGAAACTGTGGATGACAGGTAAAAGTGGATTGATTTTATGGCTACGAGAAGAGTTGCAGAGCATTTCAGGCAATAAGCATCCGCAAGGAGATTTAGCATTAAGGTTATCAGTGCATTTACTTTTTTCCCATTTTAAAAGGGATTAAATAAAGGGGATAATACACAATTTATCATCAAGCCTAAGGCTCACTCAGTCGTCATAGTAAACTATGGATATAGACAATCCTACAAAAGAGAGTATTGGACCAGTTCGTTCGGGTAATCTTTATTAGGAGGAAGTACTGCAACGCGTCATTCTTACATTACTGATGAAATTGAGCCAGAAACAATGACCGGGATAACCCTTGATAAGCGTTGGGTTAAGGTTTTATCGCATATGTACGGTTGAGTCATTACTACTACTGAAGGGACGAGAATCTTTACCGAACAAAAATACCTGTTCCCGGAGAGACACGTATGACGCGGAATCGTCACAAAACGGCTGCGTGAACATATGAGCCACTACAGTCACCCTCACACAGTGTGAACTCTCGAAGTCACGCCCTTCCTGGTGGCGCCCCCTTTCAAAGTATCTAGCGAAAAAACTGAAGCATTATGCCGCTGTTCACTTGGAAACAGTTTATCTCTTAGGGTGACGTGTTAAACTAGAGTATTGTAGCTGTGTTCAATGTGCTTCTTGAGAGTTGAATTCAAGTAAGTCAACTATTTTATACGATAGACTAGGCTTTGAAATAGTCCTTAGTGTTAATGTGAAACTCAACCGGGTCTCTCAATGTATTGTGCAACCAAACGCGCTGCTGAAAGATCGCCAGGATATTGAAGTATTTTTCCTACCTAATGAATCGAGTGTTTTTAATCAACCTTACAAGCAACGTGACATCAAGAATAATGTTTCAATACATTGAAAATTGCTCCAATTGAAACATGAAGGGGTCTTCGTGCAACACATCCGGTTGAAGAATACCATAAACAAGAGATCCAGCTGAGCTTTACGTTAACAATATATTAAAGTTCAAATACGCACATGGCTCCGCTAACGTACAAGTTAGCGTTTAAGTGAGAAACAAGGTTTACGGGAACTAGGGAACAATCGCTATTCGACCCCATGACCTCATATTCCATGTGTCGGATTCATGTGAAAATAAAATTGGTGGTACAATGGCAGATGCTGTATTGCAGCTGAACCGACTGAGGCCTCAGGCTTCAGACCATCGGTAACATGGATGTTCGAAAAAAGATTCTCACCTGATGTACGAAGTCCAAAAGGTCTCTCAAAGATTATATTCGCGAGGCGGATTCGAAGAACTTCAACGGACCATCGAAGCAAATCGTCATTTTCAAGAAGCAATGGAAACGGAAGGGAGAGCAATTCCTTTGAAGCGCCTGCCAAGATTTGCTGAACATAGAACGTGTAATAATTCGGAAAGTGAGACGGCACCGGGTCCACGAGTAGTTCAATAAATCTCCGCAATCGTCGTTTCATTATTCGGCGGGTTCTGTTTGTGCGGGCTGCAACTTGCTTCTGTAACAAAGATTGCAAGGCAGTAGGTAGGAAAAGGGAAGGAGTATCAAAACTCAGTCAAGTCGCTACCTGGCACTTGCTAAATATATGTGCTGAATATAGGAAAACGCCAACGCGAGCTAGATCGCGATCTATCCTTGACGCGAGGTTCAGTGCCAACGGTCGGTCCAACGTTCTTCCACCAACACCACAAATGCGTCTTTCTGAAAGCACAGAAAAGCCTCCCATAACCGAGATTATTAGTAGAATGTGGAGTTATGTGCGCTGAAGAGGGAAGAATAGGTCGACATATGCAATATGCAGCATAAACAAAAGACATCCGACTGATTGAAAAGCACACCGTTAAACATCCTGTGCACACAAAAAAAGACTTTTGGCACCAGCACCAAAACTTCCAGTATATTTTTCTCAAAGCAAGCACGTTGAAGATTACCGACAACCTTCGTATTGACTAGTGCATATATGAATAAGGATGGCTGGATCGGTAGATATGACTGAATTCATCACTGGCATCGACATGTGATGTCTGATTCTTCCTGATTGAAGGCTGCCACTTTGGTGTGGTGGTCGGGATTGAGTACCGCAATAAACCCTCGGGCGATATTGGCTGCAACGGCGATTAACAAGGTGCCAAAGAGGACGAGCCAAACAAACAGCATGTGAACCCGTGGACTACGAGCAACTGTGATACGAGGAAGCCTACAGGTGAAGTCGTACTGTTTCCTGTGACCGGTGTGTGCAGGTACGATGCGCTTTCCTCCAGTCCACCAGCATGCTATATTTACGTAAGCCGTGATGTCGCATTCTCTCGAGAAAGTATGGGATATGAAAAACGGATCCCACACTCCGATCACTCCAATGATGGCCGTAATCGCTGGTGAATTATCCAATATGGTCGGAAAACAACTGAAACATCCCTAGCGCCAGATGGAGCTGAAAACGCATCTGCTATGGATAGTAACACCGTGTGTGACACATCCGTGCCCTCAGGCTAGGTTAGTTCTTTATAGACAAGCGGACCGAATAATTGAGTCAGGGTCCCCCAAGGAAACCCAATTGACTACTGCTTTGTTGGTCATGCTTTTGAGTCAAAGGATCAAGGCGCGATACTTCAAACAACCCCCTTCTCCGACTTGGAAAGCCGCAAGAATCAGTCACTCTTGGAGCTCTTCTTTCACCAGTCATCAATCACAACTCATCTAAACCCGTTGAATAATGTACAGCAGTCAACCGATCTGCCTGTCCTTTAACCTTCATTCCGTGTCTAAATTATCGCCCAGCAAAACAAACCAATATAATCCTTTAACGAACTAAAAAGCTCTGATCCACATGGCAGCTTTTAATGTCCGTATTCTCTGCCGAATTGTTGGAACTTCGCTTACGCTTTCCGTCGATGTATGTTGTGGCCGCGAAACACGCATACAAAGCAATACTTCGGTCATGTACCTCAGACCTCTTTGGACGAACGCAGTTGTTCCACATATCACCCTTCGGGTATCCGACTGTCGTGATACAATGCCCAAGTCAGGACTAGTCCCAGGGCTGAAGGCGCTTTACCCGATTGGATTCCAGTACAGTCCTCTTTGCGCTGCATAGTAGGCTGATTTAATTAAAATGACTGTGGATCGAGGCAGTGAATGGTGTCGAGCTATCCTGTCGACATATGCCCCGACAGAACACAGTTCTGAAGCCGAGGAAAATGGAGTTTTATTGAGACCTGTCAGGACCACTACGGTCAACAAGAACTGAGTGACTGATATCAGAGCCAAGTTGGACAACTTAATTCAGGAAACGCGCAGCTGGGCGGCAGATTCGACGCCCAGTCAATGCGTTCATTCGTATGCTGAACAATGTATTCATGACCAGAACGAACTTCCAGCAAAAGTGCACAAAGAGACCAAAACCTGCAAGCTAGTCACGGACGCAGTTGAATCACCTGACCGTCGATTACCAACGGAAAGCCTCAACTGAAGACTGCCGTTCCTTCTGGGGTACCAAACTGGACACCGATCATGCTACCGTGTGGGCCTAGTTATCAATTCGCTTCCCACAAACCAAAGCTGATCAGCTTAGTCCATCAACCTCAATGGGTATCAGTAACTCAGGTTCATCGAGCGGATGTGGTTTGAAAGCTACTGGGAATGCATTGACGCCGATGACAAAGACTGGTGGGAAGCTGAATGGAAAGGAGGGAGAAAAGCAACCCTATCAGATTTAAGGACTGTCTACACAAATCATCCAGCCCACTCAAATGAACAGTGGTTATCGTTGACATCAACAGGCATTATTGATGCCGGGAAAGCCAGAGCAACAGTTAGCTACCATGAAGGTGAATACGTAATTCTCAAACATCAGCTAATCAAGAGACTTGAAAATAAGAACGCTGGTAGATGGTGCCCACCCAGAAGATGGAAAATGCTTCTGCTGAAGGCAACAGACAAGCCCTAATGCAGATGATTCCAGAAGTTGATCAACAAAAGTGTATCGGTGAAAACGGTGGGACAGTAATTGACTCGGAGAAACTTCTTCGTGAGCGATGAGCCGGACACCTTGAAGAATAACTCAGCTAGCCTCCTTTGACACATTCTCAGGAATAACCCAACCCGCCTCAGCAGAACATCTACATTAGCCCGCCACCAGCAACAGGAACCAAGTGCAAGATAGCATCCCTCCAATGCGACAAGACACCTGGGATGGGTGTCTAGAATCCTGGACTTCTTCAGAAAGGTGAGGTCCTGACGATTCTCCCACAGTTCAGTTCAGTGTATCAGCTAGAAAACGTACCAATGGTGTGTTGGTTCCACCTGCTACAGCTTCGGTCACCGGTGGAATGAACGGCGTGGGATATAAATATCTAATGATTGGAGATGATGGTATACTCAGTTAGTTCATGCGGCTTATTACAATGGACAACAATGCACTGAAAGCGATAGCTTTGATGCTGGGATGCCAGTGACTGCGTGAATGGGCTGCGTCTACCAATGTCAGTAAACACTGATTGAGTTGAGCCCCGAACTGTCCATCCACGAAGGCAGCAGTTTTCAACCCAACAGTATTTACTAGTTATGATTCCACATTTCGTTGCTTACTGTTCACCTCTCGATTATCTCCACCGAGCACAGGACTAGGCAAAACAGTTCCGCAAGGCCGACGGTACTCTGGCATGCAAAGTGCACGTCCTAACCAGGATAACCTATCAAGCGTGAGTAGCTAACCGATCATGGGAGTTATTCCCTGAAACCATCTGACGTACCTCAGTACTACTAAGCCTATATTCCCACCAGCCCCGAAAACGCTGGGAGACGCTGATGGACAGACGCTGACAACTTTCGTACATTCTCTGCGAGTATAGGCCATGTTTCCCGCCCATAATGCAGTATGGATTGCGCTGTCGCAGTGCATCTTATGTCCTTACAATGGTATTAACAGGAATTTTCAGTGATGGAACACTGTCCCCTGACGCCTACAGCCTTCAGTCTCGTGGACATGGTGCCTGAAACGTACGGTATAAAGTGAGGATGTATGCTCGTTGGCTAACAGTTCCAGTAAAATCGCTCCGAGTGAAATTTAAGAGTCTGAGATCCAAACGGAGTAAGTAGGCGGGTTGTATTAGCCTATCATCATCATCATCAGAGGTAGCAACATTAGTGTTGACATTGAAAATTCAATGCCGTATAACCATAAATTTCGTCTAATTATATTTGAAGCCCTAGAGTAAAAAGAAGGGAAAAAGAGTGGGTGAGGGAGGGGACCTAGTGCTGGCCTATTTCAAGCATTTTGAGGTGCCTACACCTCCAAACGCTCAATCAGACAAGCCGGAAAGAAGCTGACAGCACGAACGCCACTGACATCGGTCAGCTGCCGTTTTTGGCAGTGTCTCTATCCAGGTGCAGGAGTGGTAACAAGGACCCCACCCTGGAAGGGATACAAAACCAACAACACGTTAATCTGATTCCACCCTTTTGCCAAGTCACACGTTGTCCACCCGCGCCATTCTGAAGGAGGCACGGAGAACGATACTCGTCTCGGTAGACGGTGTTTTGGTATGCGTAGCACATGACCGAGCCACTGCAGATGATGGCAATTAATGTACCTGCTGCACAGTCAGATGCCCGTTTTCTAATCACCTCGTTACTAATCCGCTGACGCCATCCAAAACCAGCAACGTTTCTGAGGTATCAGTAGTAAAAAAACTGAAGACGACTCAAGTCATCTGTCACCAGAGGCCATGTTTCGCAATCATGCGACAGTATACACGCGACCCTTAGGACCCACTGACATGCTTTTTTGATGCCATAAGTGACGTGAATTAGCAAAAATGTTTCGAGTCTTCGAGCTTCTTGCACTGACTTCATCAGACACACTTCCGTCATGGCTAATACAACTACCGACGTACGTAAAATTCTCCACAACCTCAAGTGGTCCTCCTTGAATTGCAAGGCATACGTTCAGAAACCGCGTGCACTGAAGTACGACTTTGCACTTTGAAGGCGCAAAAAAAATGCCGAAAGTTGGTATGATGGTAGACAGTCTATACAACAAGGCTTGTGCTTCAACCTGGTCTTCAGAGATGAGGGGGCTGTCGACTGCGTAATCCAAATCGACAAGGTTCTCGGCAGCAACAGTTGGAATACCGGAGATTCGAAGATCTTCTAGCGTTCAACTCATTATTTGACCAATGATGAAGTAAAGCAAGAACGGACATAGTAGACATACTTGTCGGAACCACTTCTGTAGGGAAGCTTTTCGAGAGCTCACCATACACTCTCACTTGTCCAGAAGTATGTGAATATAGGGATCGGATTATGTTTACAAACTTCTGGGCCACACCCTGTTGAGCAGGTAGCTCAACAGCAGGTAGCTAACAGCACCGATCGATCGGCAGGATCAAACGCACTCAGTCAAGGGATACCAAGATTCTGTACATGCGTTGCTCTAACACCTGACGGAGTGTGAAAGTTCCGTCAACACAGCCCCTACCTGGTCGAAATCGCACTTGA